ACTACACAACGCAGAAAAGGGGTCCATAGGCAGGAATGAGTTACCAGAAAAGCCCAGGAACTGCACTACTACCACCACCACCACCGGTTGTTTTAGTCATCTGAAATAACTCACTTTAAAACCAAGTCCTGCATACTGTGTCAAAAAGGGCAGACGCTGTCACCTGCTCAGGAAACTGCCAACAATCTGCAGGACATTTAGCAATTTGCTAATGCAGATTTTATACTGTATACAACACACACTTTATACACATAAACGTTCCAATAAAATGACAGTATTTAATTCTTTCAGTTCTGGCATTTATGCTTGTCGTTCAAGACTGCCTACAGTAACCTTTCGCAGGTCCATGAAACACAGCTACCACAGCACTTCGCAGGCAGAGTTACAGTGGTAGGAAGTTTCAACAAGGCAGTTCCGTAATAGCGCAGTTACACACTCAAAAAAGCCCCACCTCTGCCAATGCCATTTCAGTTATAGAATTTTAGACTTCTATCAGTTTGTTTAATCAACTGCAAACTTTTCTCCCCCAACCACAGCTTTAAAAAAAAATTTTAGATAAAGATCAACAAATGGCGATATAATTAGAATGTTGTTTAGAGGCAGATAGCTTACTTCTTAGGAAATCCCTCTACTGGCTTTTAAAACATGTATTTCAGCCAAAACCTAGTATGTTTAAATTCACCTTCTATTGTAAAGAAACAAGAATGATTTTTTTTTCATCAACAGATCAAACAGAACGTGACTCATATTCAGCAATTTAAACTGAATATTCAATGATGACTAGAAAGGTAGTATTCACGTTCAAAAATAGCTGCTCAAAGCAGATCTAAAGCAAATTCCAAATAAAAAATTACAATATCCATATATAGCACATGCTGAAATCCTAGAAGGTAAAGTTTCCCTGCTGCATCTGTGACTCAATCTCCAAGGTTACATCCGTGCTGCACATTTAGCCAGGTTCCTGCCGTCTGTCTACAAGTGAGCCTTCAGCCAGGATTACAGATCCCACCCAACCGACCTCTCAGAATCCTTCCTGGCCCAGAGAGAGGTCTGCCTCACCCGAGCGAGCTGTAACGTTGTACACAGAAGTACACTGGTACTAGACTAAGAGCTGCCTTCCAGTGAAGACGGGGATTTATTCCTTTCTTATCCTCTGTTTCAGCTCAAAACTAGGATGCCTGAAAATATCTGTAGTTTAAGTGAACCTGTTTGACTTTATCCTGGACACCATGAAGGAAATACCTCACACAGCCAGTATTGTTTCACCTGGTAGGAAGCAACTGCTAAAGAAAAGATCAGTGCAGCGTCTGCTGTCTCTGAGATTCTGGTCACAAAAGCAGTAGACTAATAAATTCATGCAACAAAGCTCAGGGCTAGGTCATAAAAGCAGAAAACAGAAAGAGTATTCAGTTGTGCAGATCATTTTCTCTCATAGAGGAAGGAGCAGAGGCAGAACTGCAACAACTCCAGAGAGAGGAGAGGATCAGGCAAGTACAGCGGTGGCAGCCTTGATTAAGATGAGACACAGAGTATGGCTGCGCACCTAAAGAATGAAAATAAACTGACTTTGAAGCCGTACACTTAAATGGGAGTACTTTGCCAGTTTGATTATCTCCCCTCAGGAAAAGCAGTCTGCTTTCCCCCCAGCAGCTGCTTGAAAGTAATCTGATTTACAAACAAGCATGTCAAAAATAGCACTGTGTTTACTCTACAGAAAAAAAACCAAATTGTTAGCACTTAAGCCCAAGAAGCTCCCCTCCACAACTGCCCAAAGCACACATTAAGCAAAATAACGCCCTACATCATTAAAATAGTAATGAAATACAAACCGACTGTTCATTCCATTCCATTTCTGGATGAACATGAACCTTAAAGAACACTCTCCTCCATATTAAACAATTTTAAAGTAGTACTAATCTAAATGCTAACATATTTGATACTGAAATCTAGACCCATTTATCTAATAAAACAAAAAAAATTAAGAGCAGCATCTGTTTTTTAGCGGGGATATTAACTTAATGGAAATATTTTTGAAGTACAAAGTTATTAATGGCATATAATTTGGTAAACTTTGATCTATGTATCTTACCAAGTCTCATTAACTGTCAATGTATGTGAAAACAGAAGATGCATTGGTATTTCCTCCAACACCTTTGCAGTTCTTTACCTGAGGAACAGAATACTTTTCCCTAACAACAACAATAATAATTAAAAAACCCCCACTGTTTTTTTCCAGAAAAACTAAACTTTCTATCAGGTTGAGTTCTTCTTAGTGGATTTTAGCACGGTATAAGCTAGAGTAATTACTTTTAAAAGAATAAATCCTATTTCCTACGCCCAAGTTGTCACAACATATTACAATTTGTGGGCAATTACAGAACGTGGATCCCATCCTGGATGAAGTTGGACGAAGGTTATGCTCTGTATCGATGAATGGTACTTCAACAGGCAACATACTGCAGGACTGGTACTGTAATTATTTCCATCCTTGAAATGAGAGACATTTGAAAAACACAAGCTTTCAGGGCAACTAATTCTTGCATCTGTCATCACATGTTATTGCCGAGTAATATGCAACCAACTGTAGCTAATCACATATAAATGTCATCTGTTATGCAATCATGCAATATTTTATCCCATGCCCACGTTGTAAAGCATGATAGATGAGTACCATTTTAAGGGGAATAAAAGGCTACTGAAAATACTTATGGAAAAGTAAATGCTCGTTTACTTTACTGAAACTTGGAACATGTCGTAAATAAAACTATTTTATTTCCAATCTGTGCATTTGCATTCTCTCGTATCAATAACAAAAGAATCAGTTTTACTTTCAGTTATTTTGTTCCTACGAGACAGCAGTGAAATAAATACTTCTTTGTTCCAACAACTTTCTCTTTGCGAATTAAAGTCAGATTGACACTTTGTCTTTTTACTTACAGAAGTTTCATGAAGCCTTGGTGTTGATTTCAGTGTATAACCTCTTTTAAGTTACATGTTAAAAGCCCTTTTTCGTTAATTACCAGATGTTAAAAGCAACACAAATCGGTGCAACAAAAGTCATTTTACAGAAGAATTTAAAGGATATGGTGAGTTTACAGAAGCCTTTGGTTAAATTTACTAAAAGACAAGTTACATTGGCAAAGACCACAGTACAAAAACCATTTAGTTTCGTTATTTTTAGGATTTCCCTTGGCATTTTCAGCATTCACAACATAAAAGGTGAAGACCCTCCCCCCTCAAGAAAACAGATAACCACAGACACTTAGTCTATTCAACGGCCCTCAGCTTGCTTTTTGTATTATTTTTTTACGTTCGGCAGACACCAAGTTGATATTGCTTCCATCATTTGCTGGCCTAACAGCCTCTTCAAAAGTTCACGCAACACAGTAAATTACACTCGGTGGCCAAGCACAAGAATATCCTGTACTTATTTGGGATATTTATTTTGTGAGTAAAATACTCGTGATCTTACAAAACTCCGATTTTACCAGACCAGGCCTTTGGCCAATTTCGATTTTTTTTTCCCTTTAACACGCTGTGCCTTCAGCTTCTTTCTCTGCCTGGAATTCATCCATATTGGGTACTGTCCATGCTGGTCTAGAAGAGTTTTTTTGTTTCGTTTATTATCTATGTCCATTTTGCAGTCATCTGAAAAAGAAAGGTATTTATAGTGAGTAAAATACATGAATCAGCTTCATAGAAGCTGTTTTATTACTAGATTCACAGAAATGACACAAAAATATCCCTACGCACAACAGTATTTGTATGTAGAGAGCTGAAGACTTTATACACTGAAAGCGCTTTCCAAACCAATACAGCTGCAACCCAGGAACTTCAACAGTTGAGAGTAAATACGCAGAATTTTCCCTAAAGGCCCATGTCTGGGCAAAGCACCTTCTTTAGTCTGCCATCTGTTCCAATACTGTGTCTAAAAACATTGTGTGTGGTCTCCATCAAATGCTGCAACCATACAGGAAGCCATAGGCTTACTGAAACATATGCACAATTAAACACTTTTTACGATGTAATGTTTAAGATCTGTTCTAAAAAATGAAATTTATTTGAGTGGAAGATGAAGGCAGGTAAAGAGAAGAATAAAGAGAAAAGCTGAAATACAATGACAGGACAAAGCATGAGCCAGCGATGCTACATTCGCCTCAAAAAGTGAGCACGAGGTCGAGTCCAATATATTTAGAGACAGGAATAGAGGATCGATCGCTAGGATCAGGAAGACTGCCTGTGACGTGGTCGCTCCCAAGAACAGCGTCCCCAGCTAGCTAACACCACGTGAACATCATGCCTCAGTGAGACAACAAGACTACAAGGACAACACCTTGTTAAGTATAGATTTGAACTGTGTTCTACTATTTAATTTCAACCTTGTTTCCAAACCGTCCATGTGCAACTCTAAAAGCTGATGTTGGGAGACAAAATTCACGAGGAAAAGGCCAACATGCTGCTTCAATAGTTGAAGCATGCTGATAGTCTACAGGGATCTGGACCACAAAGATGTGCTTAGGCAGCCCTAAAGCTGGGATACAAATACTTGTAGTCAGTAGAGAATCAGCACAAGGGCCTACTGCCTGCTGGCACAACCAAAGGGTGATCCACCACAGGACAGGCAGTAAAAAAAGTCCCAGCTCCAAAAACCTCCTGAGACACCAGAGAAACACAACATGAAGCATTCTTAACAGTGTTGTTTTCCAAATGTCACAGAAGGAGAGAAGGCCTCCAACAACACAAAAAAACCCAACACCCCAAGAAAACCAACTCTACATACATAGGCTGCTTCTCCGATTCCTGTCCTATCAAATGATTGAGGTTAATCTGTTATACAAATTTTGACTGCAAAAAAGCACATTGACAATAAATGTCAGCTGCAACATTAGCTAAATGAAGGAATACTCCTGAACAAAAAATACAGTTGTTCACAGAGCACAATATTTTCATCATACTTTGCATCTCAAGGATGCTGTAGGAATCAGTAACAGGAAGAAACCTACTGAACAGAAGTGGTCCAAAGACATAAAGAAAACCTATCAAAGGGGTTAAAGACAGAGAGAAAAGGACCAAGGAAAAAAGCTATAAAAGTAGGTTATCGAAGCAGACTCAATGGATATGATTATCTTGAAAAATATGTGCACGCCCACAAAGTTTTAAAAACAGCTACAAAACCATTTCTGACCAAAGGCTAGCCAGACCTTCCATTATTTTTTTTCCTAACAACAAAAACTGGGGGGAAATCACAGCGTGCTGTGCAAAATACCTTAAAGTAACACAGAAAAATGTCCCTAATATACACCTATATACTTTCTTAGGCTGGAAAATTATTCACCTATCTATGGAAAGCGCATATTCTGGATGAAGCTTTCATCTACTTCAGTCCTTGTAACATTTGGTGAGATGAACTCCCTTGTGTCCACAAACAGTTCATGCTGAAAAGTCCTCTCAAAGAAGACACCATTATTTTCACAAAACTTGTAGTTGTTTTGTGAAATATATATATTCTTAGGTATTTCCAAGACGGCTATCTCTCTACAAAGGCCAAGTGAAATTGGCCACTCGTAGAAAAGTTGCCAGCAGACTTGGAAGGGGGTGCAGGAATGACAGATAGCCAGGCATTTGCTTCAGAAACTAGGTTTAAGACAACGTTTCCTCCAGCATCAGTATCAGAACGCTGACAATGTTCCAAAATGTTTTGGAAATTCAATTCTAACAATTCCATAAAGAACAACTTTTACATCCCATTTATGGGACAAATCGGAACCACGGATAAAATTACAAATTGTACTCCAAGCTACCCGTAATTGGGCAAGTATTTTTATATTGCATTCTATTTCCATTTTCAATATAGTTTACAGGCTCTGCTACTCAACCTCACAACACTTCCCTGTCTTTCCTAATTTCTGAAACACTGACAAAACTGGCTGTATGACTGACAGCGATTACTAGCATTATTCTATATCCCCACTGTGGTGTTTCAAGAGACTTCTGCATGCCACGTAAAAAGCTCGCATCGGTAACATCATAACAGCTTAAGTGGCATAAATTGGAGAAGCAAAAACGACTATGATGTAGCTTGGACTGCAGTTTTGGAAAGAGAAGATGTCTTTCTGACTCCTGTCCAGCACGTAACTATTTAAAACCTGCTTCCACTTCCTGGGTTACCTCCTTTACAGATTACATCCTATTCAAGGAACAGAATTATCTGTAGACACCTAATACCACCCACTCCCGCACCATGTGCAATGCAGCATTAATTAGCATACAAAACCAGGGTCCCTACTACCCCTACCTTGTACATTTAAAAAGGGAAAAAAAAGATCACTCTATTGTTGCTAAAATCTCTACAAAATTACTTTAGATTTAGGTCCGACTTTTATATGCTTAGTGTCCTCCTTAAACGAGGAGGGAAATTATATCCTATCATCAGTTTAAAAGCAAATATAACGCTGTGATCGGAACGACTGCTAAGTGAGGAATCCTCACTCACCTGATGCCTTCACAAAGATCTCTCTCTCCATAAGATGCTACGTGCTCTAAATCAAATGTTAATAAGCTTGTTCCACAAGTGGCCGGATGCAATACAGAAGCTAACATGAAATGACCAGATCCAATGATTTAATAGCATCTTTTGGCTTTAAAAGATAAAGATCTGGTTTTCCAACCCACTATTCTCAACCTGTAACAATCGTGAGTCTGATCACGACGGTGAACGTCACAGGAACAATACTAAATACACCGCAGGACGTCCCTGCACTTGGGGGGCTGCAACAGAAGAACCGGTGCAGTGAAAAAGACGCTAGAAACGCGTCCGGGGAGGGGGGGCGGGAGGAAAAGGCAGCCGGGCGCTCGAACGGCAGGTCTCGGGCA